TCTACGTCTCCTGATTTATACTATTTTTGTGCTTTTGTTTAAGAGCGGACGAGAGGAGCTTTCACCAGACATAGATTTAGTAGCTGACTTGATCGAACACATCGACAAGCATGGAGAGCCAGGTACCAAGTCCTCACCTTCGCTTACTTTTAAGAGATTCTTGTAAAGAGGTGTTACAGATAATGCCATGAATAATTTTTTTAAAAGAATTCTTTCCCATCATGCTCAGGTGCAGTGTTGTGTTTCCTCCCTGGATGGCAGGACATCAGGGCGGTCCAGGAGAAACTGGAGGCCAGACGTCACTTTTCCTCCGGCTCACACATGATCTTGCCGTGTAAGAAAGTACAAACAGATTCACAAAGACTTGTTCTTTTTGTCCTTTAAGTATATATTTTTAGTGCATTTCTTTTTTTTCTTCCCTTGTTTCTTTTAGTGCATTCTAGTTTATCAGTGTCAGACCAGCAGGCGGTGTTCCAGCGCCCCCAAGTGGGCCAGAGGAAGATTGTGCTCACCACTAACGTTGCTGAGACCTCCATCACCATCGACGATATCGTCCATGTGGTGGATGCAGGGACTCACAAACAACAGAATTATGACACACACACTAAGGTTAGTGTGTTTCATTGTCCAGTATTTGAGATCTAAAAAAAAAAAAAACAAAGCTGCATGTATGCTGTATTTGTGATGGAAGCATGTAAAATCCAATCCATCTAGTTTTACTCCTGGTTTTGCAGGTCTCCTGTCTGGACACAGTCTGGATTTCTCGCTCTAACGTTACCCAAAGAAAAGGGAGAGCAGGGCGATGTCAGCCGGGGCAATCCTACCACCTTTTCCCAAGGAACCAGCTGGAAGCCATGAGTCCCTTCCCCATCCCAGAGATCCTCCGAACCCCACTGGAGAGTTTAGTTGTGCAAGCCAAGATCCACAGTCCTAACGGCAAGGTAGGGACTAAGAACAAGAGAGTTTGTGTCATTTATAAAGACTTATTTCATGTATGTTTGACATATTCAATTATGTTTTTTGTCCTTTTCTTTGTGTGTGGAGGCTGTAGATTTCTTATCCCAAGTGCTGGACAGTCCAGAGAGGGAAGCTGTGAGAGATGCCGTCCGAAATCTACAAGACATCGGTGAGTGAACTGCAGATAAATTCTGTTTTGGATTGTGTGGTTATGTTTAAGCCATCAAGTGTATCTTACTTTACGTATTCAGTGAATTAATTGAATAATGTCTAAGCTGTCAATGTGTACTTCTCTAGGAGTTCTGGACAAGACCGAAACCCTGACGCCTTTAGGAGAGCGTGTCTCCCGCATGTCATGTGACCCTCGTCTGGGCAAAGTGCTGGTCCTGAGTGCTATGTTCAGATGTGTTCTGCCCCTTCTGTCTGTGGCCGCATGTCTGACCAGAGATCCTTTTCACAACAGCCTGCAGAACAGAGGACTAGTCGGCAAGGTGGGATGTTTTTAACAGCTACCTGTTGGTCACTGCAGTTTAAAAAGAACACGAACACACACACACACAAAAAGTCACACAAAGAGTGATCATAAAGAGTTATCACTCATTTGTCTTTGTTCTGTTTGTCCAGGCGAAAGAGGCTCTGAGCGGCTCCAGCTTCTGTGACTACTTGGTGTTCTCCAGAGCCGTGTTGGGCTGGAGGAAAATTCAGTACGAGGCCGACAGAGAGGACAGAGATGCATATGTGCACAAACACTCTCTGTCCTGGTTCAGCTTGAGATTTATCAACGGTCAGTTTGAAATGCACAGAAAGACACACTTACTGTACAGAGGCTTTTCTCAGACTGAAAAAAGTCAGAATAGCTTCTCTGATCAGATTTTGTAACTTTTGTTTTATTGGTGGTTTCCATTGTAGTTAGTGAAGTCTTTGTTCATTTACATTCTAATCTACACATTTTATAATGACATAGATAGAGAGATAGATAGATAGATAGAGATATATATATATATGTGTTTCACATTCTGTTTCAGTTATGTATGTCTTTAAAGGAGTTTATAACATGTTGCCATATTGAGTGCAATACATCAACCTTCCCTCCTCCAATCAGATTTTAAAAGCAAGCTGTCTAAACTGTTTGCAAGTTTAAAAATTGGATTTGTCCGTACACACTTCCCTCACCTATCGGTATCTGTGGCTGTCAGTCAATATGTATGATGTTTATGTAGCTTTCCAACATTGAAGCATGATAAGAATAATCCCTGAGGCTCCTGAGTCCAGTGCATCTCCATAAACACTTCTGTTGAAATGAAATGGAATCATTCTTCTGTCTCTCCAGATTCTCCCATATCAATCTGAATTTGGCCTGTCGGTGTAAACAAAAAGCTCTAGAAATCTTCCTCAATGACTTAGAGTTTTTAAAGACTACTTGTTAAAAAAATGGATGTGTGCTCTGCTGCAGGTCTCATCTCTCAGTTCAGTGAGAATCTGCATGACGCCGAGCTGGTGTCTCGCACCAATGACTGCCAGCGTTACACGTCGCTCTACAACGAGCACAGCAACCAGGATGAGCTGCTGAAAGCTGTGCTGCTGGCTGGACTCTATCCAAACCTCATTCAGGTACAAAGGAGTCTTTTTTTTTTGTTGTATTTACTTTATTAAAGCCTTGAAGATTTGAAGTCAGATTTCCTAAAGATCTTGTAGTATTTGGTAGAAGAGTGTCTCTTATTGTCTATTTTTTTGATGAAATTGTTTCCACATTCCAAATATCATTTAAATGATCCCTGCACTTTTTCATATGGTTTTTATTCCAAAACCTACTTGCATCTGTCTGAAATCTGACCTTTTATGATTAAACCATGCACGTCCTTTTTTTTCTCAGGTGAAGAAAGGTGTTGTGAACAAAGGACGCTTCCGCCCCGATGGCATTTCTTTACGCACATTCAGTGGACCTGTAGTCCTCCACCGCTCCTCAGTGAACAGGTTTGAACATGGAAAAGTATTTATTTATTTATTTTACATTTACAGTGCGCATGTAAACTTACTGTCTTCTTCTGTGTTGTAGAGGAAAAGCGGAGCTCCCCAGTCGCTGGTTGACCTTCTTTAGTGCCGTCAAGTCCAGCGGGAATGTTTTCATCAGAGACTCTTCGACTGTCCATCCACTCGCCCTGCTGCTGCTCACAGACTGTGACATCACAGAGACAGGTAGGACACGGGCTGTCATGTGGACCTGACTTAACATGAACTATTAATGTGTCCCACAGAAATGTGTTGACTTAAAATATACAAACACCATCTAATAATAATAATAATAATAAAGCTTCACAATCTACCAACACCCCTTCCAGCAGTTATCATCCAATCACGATCATTCGTTCCCCCATCCCAAATAAGTGTTAGATCTGTCTAAACAGGGCGGATTTATTGATGAAGATGATACTGCACCCTGACCTGCAGAGCACTCACTGAGTTATGTCTCCTTCCAATAACCTCTTGGTTGGATTTTTGTTTAACTAAGCTTTTTGGAGAAGTTAATGTTTGTCACACTATGAAAAAATATAGTTATAACGGTCATTCAGTTTACAGCAAGCGGTGTTAATCTCATTGAGACTTTTCACAGCTTTTGAGGCCGTGTTTCTTTCACCTTCAGGCTCAAGAGGATGAGCTCTCCATTCCTCATGTTGAGAACTGTATTCATTTTAAAGATTTATTTTTTGGGCTTTTTGTGCCTTTAATGCAGAGATAGGACAGTGGATAGAGTCGGAAACCAGGGAGAGAGTGGGGAATGACATGCGGGTGGAAGCGAACCCGGGCCTACCGCTCGAGACGAGAGCCTCAACACATGGGACGCGCGCCCTAACCATTGCGCCACCAGCACGCCCTGTATTCATTTTAGAATGTCATTAACATGGTCTCTCTTTTATGTACGGCTCAAATGCAGGTTACAGCTTAGAAATTGTATTTTACCTCAACCTCTGAGAACAGTTTGATACCTTTTTTTAAAAGCATTTAATTCTCTCAGGAATGAAAAGCGTTCTTCTCAAAATATGATGCTAAAGTGTTTGCACTTATCACATAAAGTCCCTTTTGAATCTCAGCCTTGAAGCAAACATTCCTCTCATAAACTCTTTTTTTTCCTTTCTTTAATTGCAGTGAATGGAGACCGGGTGGAGGTGTCACTTCCTGGGCGCTCTCTGGTGCGCTGTGAGTTGTCCGTTGAAGCATGGGAGCTGCTGTGGGAGCTGCGCACATCCATACAGACCATGCTATACCGCAACCTCAGCCATCCCAGCAACGCAGTCAACAACGCCACCCAAGATGGAGAGCTCATCTCTTTACTGGTGGAGCTGCTCAACAACACAGAATCGAACCCTTTCACTCCGAACCACAACAGTGACAGTGAGGTGGATTAATGCCTCTTTAAGCACTTTCTACGTGTGTTGTGTTGGATCTGCTGGCTGGTTCAGAGGAACAAAAGAGGAGGATGGTATCTCGTTTGTACGTTTTCTGTGTGTGAAAGGAGACTGTGATAACTTTTACTGATAAATAGAGCCAGTCGACAACTTCACGTCCAGACATTAACTCTTTATTTAGAACAGCAGGAGTTATTTTACAGGACTCTGCTGTAATCAAGTGTATTGTAAAGTAAAGTTCCAGTACAAAGCAGAAAATAGGGAACCATAAACCCCAACAAATATAATATCTTAAACAACAGCTCCTCGTAGTGGAAGCCAGCTATACTGCAGTTAACCTAGTTTGGTGTTACAACCGATACCTTGAGTACTTGGAAAAGTAATTCATCTGCTGAAATGGACCCTAGGAGAGCAGAAATCCAAAATGGACTGTTGTCTGCCATTGTTGTTTTTGGGATGAATGATGAACTTGGTGTGTTGAAATCCATTGGTTTGGATTTTGGACTATCGTGGTTATTTGCTCACGAATGAGAAGCAGAAGTTGAATATTACTTTAACGAGTAAAGAGTATCATTGGCCAAAGGTCAAAGACTGTGCAGAGTAAAATGTCATATTTATTGCAATAAATATCAACGTGAGAAAAATGATCAAGTTGTTTTATTGTTTGTAATGAATAAGCTAACGACAGGTAGATGCAGAAAGAAAATAAGACGTTCTTCTGTCTGTGTTTGTTTAAGAAACTTCCCTCATAAACTGTGTGTGAAAGCAGGATATGCGTCTCAGAACTTCCTCCATAGTTTCCTGAGGGTTCAGTATGCAAAATCTACGGCGAGAAGAAAGGGTCAAAGGTCTTAGGTATAACATGTTCCATATATCAATTTAAATTTGACACTGTTATTGAACATAGTACACACACATGCAGTAACAGGCCCAAGCCCCTACAAACTGAGCTACCGCAGAATCATAACTGAATCTCCCCTTGCAGGATTAATCAATTATCTCTTCTTCTAAATTACATGATGTGTGCAACTCTGAAACAATGGTCCCCTCGTCCTTATCAAACAAGGCATTAATAGCTTTACTTTGGAATAAAACGTGCTTGATTTTGGAATATGTTATTTTACCTGACGTGATGGGTGTCCTCCTTTTGTCCGTACTCGCATCCAGGCAGGATTAACACACCGGCCTCCTCGAGCAACCTCACACAGTAGAAAGTGTCTGGTTGCATTCCCATTTCCTAAAATTCAAAAACTTAACCAGATCTGAAATATTCAACGACATATACATCAGATATGTGGCATATCTGAGCACATATATTGCTCTGTGTTTTGTTAAACAAACGCAAGCTTTGTCACCTTGGCTTTCTGGATGGCTTTGGGTGGAAGAAACAGTCTGGGGAAGGCGAATGCTCCTCCCTCCACAGGCTGGCAGCAGAAACCCGGCAGGCTGTTCAAAACCTCGGAGACTCTCTTGACATTATGAACCAGCGTCTTCCTGATGTGCTCTCTCTCCTGCAGAAAAGAGAGTTGAATTGTAACGTGAATGTGATCAAACTTGGGTGTTCAATGTGTCATATCTGTCTCACCATATCATCAAGGGGGTATGAGGGATCTCCTGGCTGGGGAGGGTTCACCATCAGATCCAGGGCCATCTGACCCAAAACAGGAGCGCAGCTGTCTGTGGAGAAGAGAGTGTGGATGTGTTTCATAACAGCAGGGTCCAGATTTACCAGCTCCACATAGCCACCGCGCAGACCACACCTGGTGGAAGAGAAAAACAGAGATTTTTTTTTTGTTTTTTGACATCCTAATGGTGTGGTGAGTGTGTATCCAAGGTCAGCAATTCACTTTCCACCTAAAATCTGTTTTTCTTCCATTTTATTTCTTAAACTTTCAGGTAAGATTTTGATAGTAATAAAAACCTACTCTCCTATGAAGCCTTTGGATGCTGAGTGGAAGGACGCCAGCTCCACTGTGTCTGCATGAGGAGGACCCATCTCGGCCAGGACCCTCTTGTAGGAGATAAACTCACTATGTTCACCATAAACCAAATCCTGATACACCTGTGGAGGAGAACGCTGAGAAAATCAAAGCCTTTTCTACACAGATTTGGAATCTTTCTTTACTGTGCTTGACAGTGCTTTTAGACATCCACCTCATCAGCCAGAAGAAAGAGTCTGTTCTCCCGTACAAACTGGATCACCTCCTGCATGGATTTTCTGCTTTGAACCTGACCTGTAGACATGAAAACTACCACGTGAAACATTATTTTTGACCAAAAGTTTGTTCCCTTCTGGTGTTCAATTTACTTTTACCTGAGGGGTTTCCAGGGTTGATGATATACAGAGCTACAGGGTTACAGATTCCCTTTGCAGAGTCCAGAGCACGCTGTAGCTCCTCCACTTGCAGCTGCCAGCCATTCTCCTCAGTGAGGTAGTAGGGGACGATGACTCCTCCTAGACCCACAATGGAGGAAGTGGTGGTGCAGTGGCTCGGTACTGGAGTGAGCACACCTGTTCTGGGTGAGCTCTCGCTGTTCACCAACACCTTCAGCATGTTCTTAAGAAAATAAAGAAAGTGATTGGGTCAACTCAAAGATGATCTATAAGAAAAAAAAAAGAATATTTAAGGAGATTATTGGCTGTTACCATGAGGCACCACTGTGATCCAGGGCTTATGTAGATGTTGTCAGGGGAAGATGGGACCCCGCCATCTCGTCTTGTTATGAATTCAGAGATTCTTTGGACAACCTCTGGTATACCCGCTGTAGCTGTATAAGAACCTGGAAAACAAAACACAGAAACACAAAGACTGATCGGAAATGAATTTACGACGTGTGCTGCCGGCCATGTGAAAGAGATCTTTATTGCAATGGGTTAATTTCCTGTTTAAATAAAGGTTAAATACAAAAATGCAAAATAAAAAAGAAAGCCGGGATGAAATTGCAGAGTGAGATAATATTTTTTTATTTTATGTCAGTTTATGAGCATAAAGCATAAATGCAGTTTTAATGTATCTACATGTTGTATACTTGTGTGTATTGTTTGTATAATGTAACCATTATACATACAGTACTTACACCTTACACCTTACAAGCTTCTAACAAGGGAGTTAAAGAAACAAATGATTTCATCATGAATACTTAAAGGGTTCATTCATAGAAATTACTAAAGAAAATGCCTTGAATATTTCTGTTGCCACAACTAGGATGTTTACTGAGTTTTATAAGCCCCCTAAAAATGTCAAATATAAACCTTAATGGACATTAAAGCCTTACAGAGCAACACACTCAGCAGTAGATATGATTCATGTTTACACTGTGAGCACTTCATACAAAATGTATCTTATAGTTATCGTATAGTAAAAAGACATTGGCTTCATTTCTGCTTTTTCGTAGAAAAGTATCTGACACAGCCCTCACCTATACTTCCCCCAACACATTCCCCGAGCAGCCTCTGAGCTCTCTGCCTGACGTCCACTGGCAGTCTGCTGCTGTTAACAAGCTGAGGGTAAAGACACGCTGCGAGGACCTGCCAAAGAAGATGCAGAAACATGAACTATCAAAACAGCCTGAAGAAGAGTTGTCTTCAAAGGCCAAAGAATACTAATTATAATAATAAGAGACATTATTCATTGAGCATTTTTTAGGGCTTTTATCAAACAGCACTGGTTCCTTATATAAACAGATGGAAGTGTGAGCACATTGAAAGACTAAAGACATATACTGTATAACTTGTGAAAAAGAAAAAGAGGACAAAAAAACAAGGAAATAACAAAAATGAGCAATTACAGAATATAAACTGTTTGATTGTGAATAAAAACTAAGAACAAACTGTTGAATTTAAAACTAACAACAGTGCAAAATTGAAGTGCACTAAAATAAGCTTAAATGATGGTGTTAAAACCAGCAGTTATTTTTCTTTTTTCTGAAAAAAAAAAAAAAACCCAAATCAAAATAGGAATAGTAAGAAAAGTAATAACCTGTCTGACAAATGATAGAGGCTTCAGACCAGACGTGTGCAGGTCGCCCATGGAGACATTTATCACCTCTTTGAAGGGTTTTCTCACTCCCTGTGGACGGGAGGACAGAAAGCAGATGACACAACACAAGTAGGAAAACGTATCAAAACCTGTTCTTTTCTTCCTTCTTTTACCTGTCTGAGCTCTTTCATCATCAGGCCAAGTCGCCTGGCCAGGATTTCATACTCTAATGGCTTTATGTTCTTTATATTCTGACTGATCTTCTGCAGGACAGACATCTCTCCGACTTCTATTCTTTATGACCAGCGGCTGTGTTGAGCGGATCTGAGCACAGCTGTGTGTCTTCTGCTGGGATTTGCATGGACATTAAGGATTTCTAGTTAAAGATATAAACGGGTGCACTCTGTCACTGGTGTTCACTTACTTCCAAAGCAGCATCTGAATAAAAATTGACTTCTTCATTACATATCAACCTTCTGCTGGACCCTGATCGACATGGTGTGTAACTTATATCCATGTAAAGAGACAAAGATGTTAAGTGCAAATAGGTAACTAAAGTTATAAAAGTCGAAGAAATGTTCAGCATGAAATAAATATCTCAGCTGTCTGTACGTGTTCTTCTCTAACACAAGACATATAGGAGGTGTATGTTCTGCAGCGTCTTCACAAATGGTTAGTAATCAGTTACAGCTCATACAAGACTGACACATAATGTAGCCGGTTGTTTCCTTCTGTTGGACTATGGAGGGTCTGTGTCTCTGATGTCTATGGTCCAGGAATGACGCCACAACAGCACAGGAGTTGCTCTCACTCTGGTTACCTTTTTTTTTTATTCTGGAGCTGGTGTATAAATCATCAGCACACAGTCAGTACTGATATGAAACTGTAAGGACTCACATTTTCAGCTCAGGACAGATTTCCTTTGCTTAGGTACTACGGTGGCCAGCTAGGAACCCTACAGCTGCGCTATTGAACCACCAGGCGACGACAAAGTAACATAAATATGACAGCAACATCAATTTTGCACAAATTCAACAAAGCTTTATTCTAACTCTGTAACAAAAGCAAACAGCTGACATCCCTCCAGCCCTTGAATCTGTGCAAAAGCTCCTAGATCTTTTTTTTTTATAATATTATTCAGCTATTCTGTTCCCACAATAAATTTCATGCTTGTGTTACTTTACCAGAAAATTATGAAGACAATCTAAAGAGAAATAAAGAATCAGTTTGTTGTTTTTCAGTGAGATCTTACATTCAAGGTTATTGGGAGAGCAGGGTCATATCTATATTTTGTCTGCAGCATTTCCTTTCCTTCCTTGACTGAAAAAAGATCAGAGCAAACTTTTTTGAGCATGCCATACAGCCTGCAAAAAACCCCTGAAAATCCACGAAAAAAATCATTTCCCTTTCTTGTCGAACAAGGAGGCCCCAAGAGGGCTTTTGTTTTTTCAATAAAAACAATATAATAATAAAAGGGAAACATAAGATTGAGTCAAAAACTTAATACTTGTGTCAAAAACTTACTACTTTCCCTAGCTCTAAAAAAACAGTATAAACTGCCTCTGTATGATTCTGCTGCTGATTGTAATTTGTTTTAGTTTCTATATTTTTTCATGACTTACTAAATAATATTGTTTTCACCCTATCTTTAAAAAAAAAAGTGGTTGTAGCTATTAATTGTTGTCCTTAGTCAATGTTGTATATATTTAAATCCAACTGGTACCTACACTGACTAATGTTTATTCAGTGAAGCCGAAGTTGTTTTTTTATTTTTTTACTCACTATTGGTTTAGCACTCACTGTGCTGAACTGATCCGGCTCTGGTCCGCCGTGGTCCTGGTCTAGAGGAGACTCTGTAGCAGAGACGTCTTTGAGTTCAAACAACATTTCGGTTGCAAAAGTGCCATTGCTGCTTCTCGGGTCGTCGCTCATGGCTAAATAACCTTGCTGAACTTACTCTTCAGTTTATTTATATGTGTGTGTTTATTTGTTGTGACGGCACGGAGTGAGTGGGCGCGTCTTACCCCCCCCTGCACCCCCCTCTCCAAGTTGATACATTGACGCTCTAAGTCTGTAATTCTAAACTTAAAGCAAAGGCATTTAAAAAAAAAAATTCCAGGGCAAAGCCAAAGACTGGGCAGAGCACTACAGCTGAAAGTCTGGGTTTTAGTTACACTGTAAGTGATGAATCAAACACATAAAGTGTAGTCATGTGTGTCTTCTATATCAACTTGATATATGCTTTATTGCGGTATTCATAAAGTGTCTAATAATTAGTTAAAATGTAACACCATATTTCTTAAAGGTTGATCTTTGATTTATGTGAGGTATAATATTACTTGTAAAGTCAAGTTTCTTCACGGACATAAATAAGAGACGTACCGCAGTACTTCCTGTTTTGTTTTTCTTGCGCTCCGTGTAGCTCATCTCCGGTCGATATGGAAGAATTTTCGAGGCGTGGATGCAACCACAGCCTCACCGTGAAGAAACACAGCCTCTGCGGACACGGCTGGACCTCATAGATCAAAACATAAAGCAGCGGGTAGCGGCACCACCCGCCGCGGGGCTTCCGACACCTTCACCCCCGCGACATGGCACTCAGCTCCGGAGGCTGGGCTCCTCCAGCCCCGGTGTCTGCCTCGTCCCAACAGACAGCATGCGGCGGGCTCACGCTTACGGCTTGCTGCAGTACTGTTTTAATGTCAGTCCGGGTCTCGGTGTGCCATTCCGGGATCCGGCCATTGTGCCTCCCCGGAGCCGGCAGCGAGGCTCTGCGGCTGCAGCTCAGCATGGACCCGAGCCGGGCCGGAGAGTTCCGATTGGCGCTGCGAGATACGAGCGGAAACCGCAGTGTGGTGAGATGTCACACACACACACACACACACACACACCTGTGTGTTTAGAGGTGGTTTTGCCGTTAGCCACTTTGACATGGTTCCGAGTCGAACCGGTTTACTGTATAATATAAATGTATAAATGTAAATACCCGTGCAGGCCTGTGCGGGCCATTTTATTGAAAGCTTTAAGAGTCCGCATGCAGCATCACACAAACATTCAACCGATGTCATTCAAGAATACGGATATACAAAAAAAAAAAACTTCTGCAAAACCATCTGATGAAGTATTCTAAATGTCTTCTTTATTAGATGTCAAACACAGTATGGTTCAGCAAAAGTCAAACTTTACTTTTTGATTTGCTTCACACTCAACTGTGTGTAACACCTGTGTAAGCATTTAGACAGGAAACAGCCTACTTTGTTTTCTTGCTGTGAGTTTTTTTAATTTTTTTTTTTAGTTTCACTTTCAATTTCATTCTTCCTGGAACCACTACAGAGTGACATTTATAAGACACACTCGGGGTGAATCCTTTTTATAGTTTTGATCAGCAGTCAGACTGTCAGCAGTCTACTAACAAAGTTCAATATTTTAGTGTTGGGTTCGTCATACTGCTGTACCATCAAAGTTTGTCTCTTGTCTTTAATCCAACCTTTCCAAACTCTGCTTCAGAGGGGTCCCAGAAACTATAAGAAACTGACCTTGCATGACCTTACCCGACAACAATTACAGTATGTAAAAATGTAGAACAGTTGTAAGTGTAACAGGAAGTGTTGTATCCAACACATTCGCTTGCAACCAATGCTCAAAAAAGCGTATCCGCCTGCTGTAGCCTAGAAACTTTACCACAACTTCAGCGTGTATGGAGCTCCCACAAAGCTAAACATGGTTTGTTAAGCAGTAAGAAGCTCTGGTCTTCACTCAGATCTTCACTTGATCACTGCTGAAGGTTTCTTGGTTGATGGAAGCATTGATAACAACCGTGTTTTGGTCTCTTAAAGGATAATTTCTTTATGAATACATGTGCTTGTTGAGCAACTTTAAAGGGCAAATCCGAATCAGAAATGCATGAATGTGCTTCTGTGCATTGCCTGCAGGTCATGAAGAGGGCGGTAGGCATTGGGATGCTGCGTAACTTAGACAGCATCCTGTCAGAATCCAGCTCCGCTACAATCACTGGCCTTGCAGATGAGTTTGTTGAGTCTGTTCCCATCAGCCTGATGCAAGTGTTAAAGGAACGGAGCCTTCTCAGGCCCTTCTTGTAGACGGCCTCTGTGTTCTTCACCCTGTCCAGTTTTTTTTAATCAGCCACTCCCTGCTAAGTGCTAAGGCTAGCTCTTTAACTCAGTAGAATGCCAAATAGAGCAGCAGGAAATTCAGCCGGTCTCACGGATGACTGGAGTAGATCCTGAAGTATTTACTAATTCAAAAATAGACTTCAATCATGAACTTTGAATCATTATGAATCGAAAATAGATTCTCAATCGAATCGTGATCCCAAGAATCAAAATCGGATCGAGTCGTTAGACACCCAAAGATTCCAAGCCCTACTTGTAGTCCTCCCCAATGTCCATAACCCCCCCCCCCCCCGCAGCCGATGGAAACGCGGGTCGGTAGTGCCTTTGTCCGCCTGAAATCCACAACCAGTTCCTTCGTCTTCACCACGTTGAGCTGGAGATGGTTCTCCTCACACCATGTCACAAAGTCTCCCACCACCACCCTGTCCTCGGCCTCCTCACCCGTGCTGATACATCCAACCACTGCCAAGTCATCAGAGAACGTCTGAAGATGGCAGGACTCTGAGTGGTAGTTGAAGTCAGTGGTGTAGAGGGTGAAGAGGAAGGGAGACAGGACCGTGCCCTGTGGGGCCCCAGTGTTGCTGACCACTCTGTCTGACACACAGTGTTGTACTATACTGTGGTCTGCCAGTCAGGTAGTCAACAATCCAGGACACGAGAGTAGTATAGTATGTACTCGCATACGGGTACAGCTCAAACAGATCAGTTCCCAGAAAGTCAATCTGCATGTATTTAAATGATCTTTTTCAATCTATGGTTGTTTTGAGCAGAAACGTTGAACATTGACAAATGAAAGCTTCTCTGGTGTGATCAATTGCTGCTTTTTGGTTTGTGGAATTTAACAACCAAACTGAACAGACTATTCTAGACTTTGGCAATTAAGATGGAAGTATCTTTTCATATTTCCTGGCATTTTTGTGCAAAACAATTCATCTGTAAATGATCAATTCATCAGCTGATCAGATATCCTGGGGTTGACCCTCCGTTGCACTTTGCCTTTTTCACCTCGTCCTAACTTCTCTCCCAAAATTTTTCCTTTGTTTGTCGAGTTCACTCACACACTGTGCAGTCTCCCGAAAAACCCGACACGCTCCGAATCGCCTTTTCATCTCTGCAGAATCTCAGTCAGACAGATTCTCCCCTGACGATGGAGAAGCTTCTTGATTTGCACGCTCTCCCTTTGATCCCCGCTTCTTTTTAGCTCGGCTGTCTGGGCTGGCAGACTCTTCTCACACAGTTTTAGATGAGTGTGTACTACACACACGCACACGCAGGCACACACACAAACGCACTCACACAGATGCGCGCACACACACACACACACACACACACACACACACACACACACACACACCCTATGGTAGGAGGCAAATCCCTGCACAACAGACTAAAGCACCCTAATGATTCTCTCAGTCACCACAGTGAATGTTTAACAGCAGAATAAGTTTCAAATCTGTTTAGTAAAACTCTATTCTCAGTCTGAATGGAAATATTACTTTCTTTTCTCCATGTTTAAGACGTATTCATCAAATGTAAGAAAAGGGTTTGAGCAGTGTTGTGCGATGATTTTGCAAATGCTGCTTTATTGTCAAATCCCTGAATTTAATTTGGCTGCTCTACACTCCAACTAAGACAAATGATCAGTGGAGTTCTCAACAGGAAACTAAGACACATTTCAGTGTCAATGTGACACTTTAGATATCTTTTTTTAACCTTGTGATGCTGATACAACAAACCCATATTTGCCACTTTGAATGGTCACTTTTCACAGAGTTCTTCCATTTCAAAAAGGTAATAATAGTAAGTTAGTTAGCTGAATATTCAGTAAAGAAATTAGTTTTTGCAGTCTTGTGGTACTTGCAATTATAGACTCAAACTGTGCATGTTTTAGGTTTCAGATCATTCAAACTGAAAATTCTATATTTTTCTTTAATTTTTCTTTTAGTAGTTTTCTTGAGCCATGCCCTTTAATACTGACTAGCTTTTTTTAAATGTTCACCTTCAGTTCATTGCAGAGTTTGACCTGCGCCTGGTGCAGTATGAGGTGAAATCTTCGCGCTGCCATGAGATGCGTCTTGCTGCTCCGCCCCACGACTGCATCCGCTTCAACTTCCGCTGCGACCGTGAAGCCGAGGAGTGGGCCACGGTGGTGATGTCATCACTAAGAGAGGCACACAGAGGTCAGTTTAACCGCTGTTGTATTTAGTCCCTGAACCTGCCTTTCCACCTGTCTCTGTGTTTTCTGGTCCAAGGGATGAGATAAACATTAGATGATGTTACATATTAAATGTTGCATATTATCCTCCTTTTCCACCAGTTTAAATAAGTCTCAGAGCTCCTCAAAACATGTC